GAATCACTAGATGTCAGATTGTTTTGGTTAAGACTCGAATCCATGGGGATGTCACGATCAGAGCCATCAGCTACGTTATGAAATCCGTTATTCCGTCTCACTGCTTACTGCGATAATCCGTCCTGTCGGATCTGGGCGAGCGGGATCGCTTTCCTTCCCGATCGAAGTCAGAGTCGGACTCGTCACTACCTGGAACGTGCGAAGTTGGGGTCGCACAAGGTTGCGGTGATGAAACCAAGGCTCGGGCTGCGTGCGGGAGAGGTCGGGGTGAAAACGACCGTCGGGGACGTGGGATGCAAACTCTCCTGTCAGAGATGCGCATTTCACTGACTGAACAACTGACAAATGAACTGTCGGGCCAAGCCTTACTGTCCTTGAGCTTCTCTTCGTTGTCTTGCTGCGCCGAGCTCGCGGGTTCCTGCAAGCGGAGTCGTAGCCGGAGCCGCAGGACCTCATCCTCTTTCCTTGCCAGTGTCTGTCTCCAAAGCCCCGTTGCAGTGAGGACTTTCTCTTTGTACTTGACCTGTGCATCCTCGAGCCTCTTCAACCTGCTCTTGAACTTGTTTGTCATGTCCGTCTGGGCTTTGGAAACCTTCTCGTCGAACTTTTTCTTGTTCTCTTCTTTCTCTTTCGCCATCTGTGCCTGGTGCTCGGCGTTCATCTCTTTGATTTTGTTCTCATACATGGCAGTCAGTACCTTCATCTCCTTCTGGCTATCCTCGAACTTGTACCTGTACGTATCTTCCGTGATGGACAGCCTCTTAGCCCTTTCCTGGTTGTTTCTCTCATGCGTGTTCTCCAGTTCGTCCAGCATGTCCTCGCCTTTCTTCTTTACAGCTGCCAGTTCGGCCTCGTGCTTCTTATTGTCGTCCGCAATCTTCGTCTCGTACATTTTCTTCGTCCAAATCGCTTCCTTCTCAACCTCCCTCAAGCGATCGATTTCCATGCGGTCCTTGTTATGCGTCAAGATGGCGAGCTTGTTGATAGCCGAATCCTGCTTCTCCGTGAGCTCCACCTCATTCTTCCATTGGTTGTACATCTGTTGCAACCTTCTGTTGCAGAGGCGCCTGATACCGCTGAAGTCATTGGCTGAGTGCTGCTTGTTCTTCTCAGCTTTCTTCCACTCAACTTTCCATTCATCCGGAAGGGGTCGGAGTTCCTTTGTGAAGCCTTGCTTCGTTGGGTCCGTCTCTGTGTCGTCGTGGCTTCCTGCAGGGTTTTGGTGGCTTCCTGCAGGGTTTTGACTTCGACGCCAAGCCGCCCATTCCGCGTCGGTGTACACTTGCTCAGTCATGGCGCTAGTGGCGCCAAGAAAAAACGGTGCGATTTCCTTGAATCTTGAGATGAAAAGCTGCTGCAGTCCAACATGTTGAGCTTGGAAGCAACCGACGGTGCAGCAGTCAAGTCTTGGTGTGGCTTAGGCCGGGGCTCTTCGAGGATCTCGATGCGCAGACTGTCTCAGCCTGGTTGGCCGGCGACAGACGGAAAGTGAGCAGAGAGATACTGAATCCATGCATGACTTTCCTGCCTCTTCCTTCCCTCACATCACTCCTTGCTGCCTGCTCATTCCTCGCATCTACAGTCACACCCTCATCTTGATCATTCCTTCTTCCTTCCCTGCTTCCTTCCCTGCTTCCTTCCTTCCTTCCTTGCTTCCTTCCTTGCTTCGTTAATTATTTTCGCTGTCTCTCTCTCTCTCTCTCTCTCTCTTCTTTCTCTCTGCATCTGTCTTTGAGGATCCGGCTCACCCCTGCTCGGGGTTCATCCTCACCCCTGTTCGGGGTTCATCCACACCCCTGCATGGGGTTCTCACGACCCCTGTTCAGGGTCCAGGCTCACCCTTTTCGGGGTTCATCGGACGCCCCTGTGCGGGGCTCTAACGACCCCTGTTCGGGGTCCAAGCTCACCCCTGTTCGGGGTTCATCCACACCCCTGCACGGGGTTCTCACGACCCCTGTTCGGGGTCCAGGCTCACCCCTTTTCGGGGTTCATCCACACCCCTGTACGGGGCTCCGACGACCCCTGTTCGGGGTCCAAGCTCACCCCTATTCGGGGTTCATCCCGCAGCCCCTTCAAGGGCTTGGTGCGGGTACGCCCCTGCACGGGGCTCCGAAGACCTCTGATGTGGCGACCTGACATCCTGACAGAGCCTGCGCGAATGCCTAATTACAACTACTTTTGCCTGCTACCTTTAAACTTCTTTCCTGATCAATGCCTCCTTACCTACATGCCCGCCTACCTAGCTATCTAGAGACCTGGAAGCCTGCCGGTGCACCTAGACCTACAAGTACCTCCCTCCTGCCTATCTACTTATCTATACCTACCTGCAGGAGTGGGTGGGCGGGTTTGGGGGTTGGGTGGGATTACAGTTTAGGGTCCAGGGTTTAGGGCATGAGCTGGACGTTACGAAAGCTTAGATTCCCTTCATGTTTAATCATGAACACACACACACTAATTTTCAAGTCGTTGTGAATCGTACAAAAAGCTGACTTTAGGGTTTCAGAACACAAAATCTCAAGCTTCTTGTTTTCGTTGAGCCACAAGAACACCAAGTTGCATTTGTTTGGTTTGCTCGGCACAAACGAATCTTCAAAATAACTTCAAAAATATCTTGCAACAAAGAAATTCCATGTGAACTACAAAACTTGGGACAGGCAATTATGTCAGTATGGCTTTGATTTTTCGATGTACATGTTTTCACATTTCGAACAAACCAAGTTTTTCAGGCATTGATTTTTCTATTGAGCCACAAGCACACATCTTTTTATACATGTCCAGCATCTCGCTCTTTCCATAGAGCCACAAGAACACACATGACGTAGGCCCAATGTTGCTGCAGTAGTTGCATTTGTTTTCCGTCCTGCCCCCCCCCCTTCAGCACGACATCAGACATGTTGCTTTACGTGTCCTATATACACGTGTTCTGACATGTCCATCATGTCAGCAACAAGTGTCCTATATACACGTGTTCTTACATGTCCATCACACGTGTTCTTGCATGTCCATCATGTCAGCAACACGTGTCCTATATACACGTGTTCTTACATGTCCATCATGTCAGCAACACATGTCCTATATACACGTGTTCTTACATGTCACTCATGTCAGCAACATAAATCCTAGGACCCGGTTCCATAACGGAAAGGACCCGGTTAGCCCCGGACAGGCATCTACTCTCATACTCTTTGATATGATACTTTGCTATGAAGAAACCTTGGGCCTTCTTTAGGGTTCTTTACATGACTTCTACTCCTACTATTTTAAGGTTATAGTATAGGCCCAGGGTTTCTTAGTCAGGTTCCCACATTACAATGTTCTTAACGGTGCTGGGTCGAGACGGCGACCCCACAAAATATTTTATCAATACGGAAGACCCTCGGAAGTCCGCTCGCGGTCCGGCTTGGGTTGTGGATTTAGGGTTTAGGTTGCCGAAAGGTGAAAGCTTGTAACCCCAACTACGGTACTTTTGACCTTACTTGCTAAGTCCCACGGTCCTCCAAGTAAGGTTTGCACATTGATGCAAGGGGTTTAGCGCTGCAGCGGGGCTTCTAAACCCTATACTTCCAACCTTTCAAACGATCCTTAGAGCAACCGCGCGACCCCAAATCCTAAACCCGCGTGTTACGCCCGTTGACAGAACCCCGGTTCGAAGCTCCAGGAATAATGTAATGCAGGAACCTGATTAAGAAACCCTGGGCCTGCCACCCCGAAATAGTAGGATCCATGTAAAAAACCTTAAGAAGGGCCCGAGGTTTCTTAATCAGTCAGGTTAGAGTGCGAAGAAGGTGTCAGAGTATCCGGTTATAGTGGTCATATGGTTATAGTATTGTATAGTATAGCAATCTCCAAAACTCTCCTCGATTTCTTGAAGCCCCTACGTCCACGACTTCGGACCACTGGAGTTTCAGGCTTACTGCGTTTCTGTGTTTGGGGAAATTTAGGGCTGTTCGGGTTTAAGGTTCGGCGAGAGAGGCTTATGGCCTTCAGTTCGAAGGTGTCGGGATCTTTAAGCTTCGGGCCTATGGTGTTATTTAAGGCCGAAGGGCTTAGGAGTTTAGGGTTTAGGCTATCAGTTGCTGCACACACTGTCAAAGGCTCGGTACGTCCGGTACGAGAGCTGTTTATACCAATCCAGTCACAATCGGCGACACAGAAAACCTTCAGGTTTTGCCTTTGGCACACAGTCCCTTCGAAGGCGCAGTCAACACTCGTCAGTATAGTGGCGGCTCAGGGTGGGGGGGTGGTGGGGGAGGGAGGAGGGATGGGGGGATGGGGTAGGGAGGGGTGGGTAGAGTAGCAGTAGTAGTAGGAGTCGTAGTAGTAGGAGTCGTAGTAGGAGTAGGAGTAGTAGTAGCAGCAGTAGCAGTAGCAGTGGCAGTAGCAGTAGGAGGAGGTGTAGTAGTAGGAGTAAGGACTAGTCGTGTTTCGGCAGGGAACGAGGGGGGTAGGGGGAGGGAGGGGGATTGGGGGAGGGGGCGGGGGGCCACTTTGTAAGCGTCCTCCATGGAAAATGGTGCTGCCTACCCCCCGCCCTGATACGCGGCGTTTGGGGCCAGGGCAGGGGTCTCGCGCCAGGGACCGCTTTTGGGAAGCACGGGGTACAAATAGGGGTGCCTTAATTTTGGGGTCCTTTCAAGGGTTACTACAAGGGAACCTGTAAGGGTTCTATACAGGGTGTAGGGTTTAGAGTTTCCGAAAATTAGGGGTACCTCAATTTGGGATCCTTCTAATAAGGATCCTACTATTTAAGCTATTATTTTAGGGTCCCCTATTTTCGGAAACTCTCACATCGTTGAAGGCTTTCCAGTAGACATGAAATTGTGTGGTTCCTGGACCCCCACTGCACAGGCCGGAACAAGTAGCACATCTCTTCCCTTGCAGTCCCTGTATAATCAAACTCCAATGTACCCAGAAGGCCCTGGAAGACAAGCCCTCACAAACATCCCTGCAGCGCCACAGCAAAGCCGGCTCCCCTTTGTTGGAATGTGCGGATGTCCAAGGAGACCTGGAGAAGAGGTTGGTCTTCACGAACGAGACGGAGGCCTACGCATGATCTAGGGGACTTAATAATTACCGCTGTTCCTTCGGGTTCCAAACATGATTTTGGTGTTGATCGGTTTTGGCTTTTGCTGTTAAGAGTGTTCGGGTCTGACTAGGGTTGGGTGGTTTAGTGCTGATCTAGGGTACATTATGTTGATGAAGGTTCGGGTGTATTGGAATCATGACCCCGAACCTGGAAACTGAACGCAAACCCAAAGCCCTAAACCCCAAGAATACCGTAATTGGTAAACCCTTGTGGCCCTTGTAACCTTCAACTTACCTGATTCCCCTAAACTTTATCAACCCTAAACCTTAAACCATCCTCTTACTTGACTTCCTTCAGTAAACCCTACCCCTACACTACACCATCTTCAAGCCCATCTGAATTCCCTCATTCCACCCTTCAACTGCTGAACCCTAAACTCCTAAGCCATCCTCAAGCCCCAGTGACCCTAAAGCCCTAAACCCTAAACCTCTAAAACCCTAAATTACTAAACCCCTCAACCCTAAAAACCCTAATCCTAAACCTAAAAACCCTAAACCGTGACTTCAGGTCGTTTGCACCCCAGATCGGCTCTCTCTGATCAAGGCAAAGACCGGCATCGCGCGCCCCGAGCCGCGACAAAGTTTGATCCCCACATGAAAGGGACCTTAAAGGAGCCCTGAAGTGTTACTATAAGGGATCTATAAATATAGGGTTTAGGGTTTAGGACTTTAAGGAACTGTGAAGGGTTACTATAAGGGATCTCTAAATATAGGGTTGTAGGGTTTAGGACCTTAAAAGGAACTGTGAAGGGTTACTATAAGGGATCTCTATATTAGGGGGTGTATCAGCTTTACGAGAGTCTAAGAAGGTTAGCCGGGCTTGTCGAAGGTTGTCCAAAGGGTTTAGACAACACTCTCAACATGGAAAGCGTAACAATTTCGCATGGACCTCCGGATCCAAGGATAGCATGCGGCTGCTGAGCCTTTGGCGTCCGTTGCGGACGCTTTCTCTGAAAGTTGATAGCAACAGTGAAGTGAAGAAAGGCCTGATGTCGCGAGGCAAAAATGAAAGAAAAAGAGCAGCGGTAGCTGTGACAGCATGGACAGAAGCTTTCCGCGAAAAGTGCGTCGCAGATGCACAAATGGCATGACGATCACCATCCTCCTTGTTGTTGCTGTGAATACTACAAGTTGTAACTTCCGAACTCCCTGGTTCTGCCTGTCGTTCGGATTTCACAATTGCTGGTGCGACCTGCTGCTGCTGCTGCTACTACTACCACCCTTACTCCTCCTGATCCTGCTCCTGCTCCTGCTCCTACTCCTCCTACTGCTACGGCTACTGCTACTAGTACAGCTGTATCGACGCCACCAACAGTCGGTTTCCTGGTAGTGACTTTAAACATCATGACACCATTCGTCAGAACTAGATTTGCCATGCAATCAACCGCGATCGCCTGCAAGAGCCCCAACGAAAGTCACGAAAGTGGTGACCATCATTCTGGGTACAGAGGTGGCAAAGGGTGAGCCTTCGCCATTTTCACGAGGAGCCTACTTGGCCAGTAAAGGCTCTGTCTTCTTCTTGTTACGTGCGTGAGAATCGCAGAGTGATGTTCGTGGTTTCCCAAGCCGAGGTCCCACATCCGCCGGCTGAAAACCTCTCAGCCAATGGTACGGGCCATCGCTTATCAGCGGGAGAGGCTTGGCCTGATCCAGCTTTGGAACTCACCTTTGGTTAGTAGGGAATGGTAGGATTCCCTTTAAGGGGGTCTATAAGAGTTACTATAAGGGATCTATTCTTGCCTTTGGTTAGTAGGGAATGGAGGAATGGGGTACAATTATAACTACTATTACTACCATTCTTCCATTCCCCACTAACCAAAGGCAAGTGGAGCTTTGGAATGCGGAGCTTATGTTTTGGGTCGAGGCTCACACCTCTCAATCTGGATAGGGTTGCTTCGAAACCTCCTTGCAGAACTTCCCAGCGGACCGGAAGGACCCGAATCAAGCTATGACGGTTCGGCACAAGCATCCCGCAGCAGACCAATGTCACGACAGATACGGTTCAAGAGGCGGGGCCCATTTCATTTGAGACCCAAGGCAAGACTTCGTCAAGCACGGCCGCATCATCGGCCAATTCAGAAACCAACGACTGCTGTTTCTGGTCAAACAAGCAATGAAGGCGGCTGGCGACGGCAAGGGTTCAAGGTTCAGGGCTTAGTGATTAGATGATGAAATCCTGCCGGTTCCTGCCGCTCCTGCCATGACACGTGCCATGACTTTTGATTGGGGTTGTGTCGTTTAACCAGACGGAAAACGAGGTGGGCTTCTCATGAGGTAGCTAAGAAAAGCCTCCAGCCCAACCGCTTTAAGATTTTGGACACCGTTACTACGATTGCTACCATTAGTTTTTCTTATCATTATTAAACATTATTGTTGGTATTATCAGTATTTTTCGTATTTTATTATTATTCTTATTAATATTACTATTACTACTATTGTTATTATTATTATTACTATGGCTACTATTATTTATTTTCTTTCTCTTGGGCCCAATGGGAGGCACATGGCCGTCGCGGTGACGTCGAAGTCTTCGACGGGAAGATCGGAGGGCGGACAATGACCTTCGAGCAGCAGCCTCTTGGGCTCACAGATGGCACCACCCCCCCGTTTTCCTTTTTTGTATAGGGTTGTGGGTATCTTCTTTTTTTTAATAGGGTCTGGGGTCCTTTCTTCTTTTATAGGGGTTTTTGGTATTATTGTGAAGATCACAGTTTTTGAAGTTTGAACTCGGTGTGCCTAAAAACCTGGTTCAGCACGTGCCATATCCACCTGGGCAGGCATTCCTTCTAGGCAAAGATCTTCATTAATGATATTATTCTTGTCCCTATCAATACTGTCACGAAAGAGATGAGGGAGTTTCCGAAAATAGGGGACCCTAAGATGGTACCCTAAATAGTGGGATCCTTGTTATGAGGACCCCCCCCCCTATTTTCGGAAACTCCCCCATGAGACTTCCCTGGTGGCAGGTACCGCCTCTTCAACAGCGCCTTCCTGGCTTTTGGCCCCCAGGGCACGGGACTCGCGAACATCCTTTGGATGCAGATCCTTGGTAGCGAAGAGAGCCCCAGGGAGTTTTCAGGGGCCTCTTGGGCTCAGGTTCTCTGAGGGCCTATATATAGTGTGTGTGTGTGTATATATATATATATATATATATATGTATAGTATATATATGTATATATATATATATATATATATATGTATAGTGTGTATATATATATATATAGTATATAGTTATGGCTTAGGGTTGAGGGTTTAGGGTTGAGGGTTGGGCCTGTGGTTGTGGCTAGGGCTTGCATCACCCGGGAGCCTACTGCATCGGAGGAATTCCGACTGCCATCGCCGGCCGGCAGTCATCGAGTTCATCTGCTCGGCTGACACCATGCACAGCTTTGGCTGCTGGAACTGGCAGAATTCTCAGAAGGCTCCGCTTTGTGGAGCGGCCCCCGTCACGAACAAGACCCGAATTCCTGTCATCCCTGATAGGTGCTGAGCATCAAGTCCACCTGGGCCATCTCCGCCGGTGCTTTCTGGGCGCGCTACTTCCACGCCCCTCGGGAAAATCTCAGTTTCAAGACCCCCAGAGAGCCAGCATCCTCGTCCGAGTTTAGGGGTCAGGAGTTAGGGTTTAGGGTTGAGGGAGCACCACTGAAACTCTACAGAGCTCCTCACGCAGGCATGTTCTTGCGAGGAATTTGAAGCTGAGCCTTCCAAAACCGAGCCGTCAAGAGCCAGGTATGGCTGCTCCGGACGCCTCTACCACGGCAGGCAAGCGGCAATACTTGCACATGGGGGCTCAGAGCACAAAGGATATCAGGGATGTGAGGTCAGCGCACCTTCTTTCAACCAATATAACAAGGACCTGATGCCTTGAGATCGCTTGTTATTTTTCTATTCTTGCCTTTGTCTGCACTTGAAGCAGACGGGGACAACCGAATTGTCAAGCTTCAGAACTTGGGTTTCAGTGCTCATGAGCCGCTCTTCAGTCCCTCCCAAGTTCCTTAGCACGGGCGTGTCGCTTGTGGTTTCGACATATTTGCGAGGAAGTCCCCGCTCATCGGAAAGATTAGATCCTTGAGAATCCCCGAAAACAGCCCTGAAACCTCCAAACCCCGACGGCTGCTTAGGCCATCTCAAACCCTTAAACCCCAGAATCCCTTCTAGCATCTCTGCAAAGCGTCTCTTTACAGCGTCCCTCATCTGTATGTCTTACAGTAAGTATCCCTCAAAGTATCCCTTAAAGGTGAATATGATATAGGAACCCTCAAAGTAAGTATCCCATCGTATATGGGAGTTTCCGAAAAACTAGGGGGTCCTAAAGATAAGGACCCTATTATTTGGGGTACTAATTTAAGGGTCCCCTATTTTCGGAAACCCCATATGCCTTCGTAGCCATCTCGTTTCAAGCTGGGCCTCCCTTGAGCGCTTCCTCGGACGCCATGGCGCCGAAGGCAAAGAAAGCAGCGAAGTGGGAGCTGACGCTAGGATTTCCGGTTGATGATTTAAATCCTGCATGACCCATAATAAGAAATATACCATAATTCCCATAGTTCAGGGTCCTTAAGGTAATGCAGGATTTATATCATCAACAGTAGGACTTTGGGTGTAGAGCTTTAGGGGTCTAGAGGTTTAAGGGTGTAGAGGTTTAGGGGTTCAGGGTTTCAAGGGTGTAGAGTTCTCGGTTCAGGGTTTATGGGTTTAGAGGTTTAGGGGTCCATGGTTTAGGTCTGAAGATAGGCTTGCGTCAGCCATGGGCCATACTTGTGTTAGAGGCCTCCTTCAGACGGGCGTCTACACTGGCTTTTCTAGTGTTATGTTAATTTTGACAACAAGGTTATTGGGTATCTGGTACTCTAGGCAGACCCCAGCTAAAGGGGATGCTCGTGCTAATTGTTCCGGCATCTGTACGACGGGTTGTCTGGAGCTTCATCAGAATACAAGAAGAACCATGATAACAGTAGCCATAACAGTAACAAGACGGTAACATCTGTAATCATAATAATAATCCTAGTAATAATAGTACTAATAATACTAGTAACAGTAATAATCACAATCACAATAATAATAGCACTAGCAATAATAATAATAATAAAAATAGTAATACTAATAATAATAATAGTAATAATAATATGAAAACGAGAATAATAACAATAATAATAATAATCACAATGAGGACACACAGTAAGTCAGAGATGCTTCCCCAATCATGGAAGCCCAGGAAGCCCTTCACGGCCAAAGAGAAGGCTCCATGGAAAGCTGCAACTTGGGCTTCGACGGGTCCTAAGCCTTATAGCCGCTATATAACGTCATGTGATGATGTCGTGGTGTGTGTATATACTATGTATATATATATACATACATACATACATATATTATACATATGTATAATATGTATATATATATACACACATAGATGGGTAGATGGGTACGTACGTAGATAGATAGATAGACAGATATTCTATACGTGTATGTTGGGTGGTGGTGGCCACGTTGATCTTGGGGGCCCGGAAGACTTTGCATCAGGAAACCCCGAGACAGCCTGGTGCCGCCAAAGATTGTAAGCACAACTATGTACATATGTATATATATATATATATATATGATATGTATAGATATATAGATATATACTAGGACCTGGAGTAGGCCCTTATTCCCTTTTTTAGGGTTCAGGTTCCCTTATAAGCCCCTTTAAACCAAAAAGGGCACCCTTTTTATTCCCAGGTTACTCTCGGGTCTAGTATATATATATATATATATATACATATATATATATATATACGTATCCCCAAATCGTAGTCCAAAACGCGAGGCCCTTATATTGGGTTCGCAAGGACATGGCTGCAGAGGCATCAACAGCAGCAACCAAGCTTCCATAGTTATCACCGTGATCCACAAAATGCACGGCCGAAAGCCTGCTGCCTCCGAGGTCCTGCATCTGGTATCTAGCTTCAGCAGCCACATGACATGCTACAACGCAGCCACCTTTACGTGAAACGTGTTAACAAAACCTAAAATCCTAGCACATTCTACGTCAAAGGGCCTAGGATCTCAAATCCGAGACCCCAAGCCGTTTGGACCCCAAGTCACTGAACGCTCAGCATCGACGGGCCCTCCCAAGAGCTCTGCGCCACGAGAGCCTGCATCAACTCCCTTTCCTAACATGTGGGCAGTTGTGAAGTGAGAGATGCCAGCTTTAGGTTCTGCATTGCGGATGAGAGCACCTAAACCCCAAACCTTATGGTGGGCCTTGAAAAAAAACCTTATGGTGGCAGATGTCATTCGCCTAGCTGCCTGTGGCTGAACTCGGCCAAGGCAGTGCAAAGTGTGCGAAAGGAGTTGAAGGTTCGAAAACGGGACCATCCGGCACTCTTCATGCCCCTTGGGCTTGGCAAAACAAGAGTCAAGGGTTTCAGGCGGCGGCTTGCGGTCGCTTTGCGGACTTTCGGACTGCCTACTGCCTTGTAGGACCCATCTCCCCACGCTCTCTCCGCCCCCTCCCCCCTTTTGCGGTGCAGCAGCAAAGGAGCGCTATGAGGCCTTGATCTTGTCATGGAGTCATGGAACCTCACCATGAAAACATGGAAACTTTCGACGCAAGATTTAGACAGGAAGAAGACCCCCCCAAGGCCGCAGACTTTAGCCATATTCAGAACCCCCGAGGCTTGGGGCGGTGGGAAAGCATCTCTACGAAGCCGTTCAGGCCAGGCTCGTGCTTTCCGTGAAGAAACGCACGAGGCTTTTGTTGGCTCCGGCGGGATATGTTAATTAAGCCTCACTGGGGCATAGGGCCTTAGGTTTCAGGGGCGCATTAGCACAGAAGCAAAATCTTTGATGTCCTGTGCGGAGATCCCCATCAGGAAATGGCGTGTTGGAGCATGTTTTAGGCTTGTGTGCAGGTTTATGTAGGACTGAGGAGTTTGAGATGTTTTGTTGGAGCGTGCTTAGGTTGCTACCACCATACGAAGCACAGCCTTCGCTAGCCCCACACCCTACGGCGAACCATCGCAGCCCAAGCCGCAAAACACCCTCAAGTCCTAGAGTCCTAGAGTTTCAGGAGCAGTACAAGAAGGTGGGCAAGAAGAGTTGGAAGCTGAAGAAGCCTTTGCCTCAGTACTCCCAGGAGGCTGCGGGCTTAAGATTTTGGGGTTTGGGATTTAGTGTTCAAGGTTCGGGCCTTTTGAGGGGGTTTCAGATGTTTGGATAGGGGCCTGTGTGGAAGTTTGTGTTAAATTTGGAGAATATCTGGTGGCCACTAGCAGCGCCACCAAGCACTTCAACCCATTCCCTTGAAAACCTACGAAGAAGCCTTCCGCATGCAAAAGTCTGGATAATCCGATAAGCTTCCTTTTTTGTCATTGCTGGTATTGCATGTGGAGGCACTTTCAACATTCTGCAGACGCTTCTAAGAAAGCTGTTCTAGCCACTTGCGAGGCACATGCCGGAATCTGCTAGTCTTCTCTCCCGCTTTCGTAGCTTGAGAAAGTATATGCATGATCTCATGGCCGCGTCTGCACTGTGTCGTTCGGAAGGGAACTCGGCAAAATTGGCCTTCTTGGCCGGCGACCCTGAACCCAACTCAGGTTCAGCAAAAAGGAGAGTGCTCCTTGGATCACTGCAGTTCAAAGCGCCAAGAAGCTCCTCCACAACCGGTCGCGGGAGCACCCGGCACTCTTCCTGCTCTCCGTGGCGATGCCCTCAGCAATCCCCGCTGTTTTTTCGATGGTTGACTTGAGGGCCAGGCAAGAGACACCGCATCAACATCCTGGGGAGTGCACCCCGACACAGTCCATACTGGCCACATGGCCAGTGCCAAAAAGATGACCCCTCCTCAACCCTGTACCCTAAGCCACAAAAAGAAAGCCCCAGATTTCCTGCTGGGGGCCGAGGTGGGAAAGGAGATGTATGAGGCAGCGCAGGGAATGTACAAAAGGCCAGCAAAGGCCAAGGCGATGAAAGCAAGCGCAATGAAATCGATGAAGGCGATGAAAGCTATGAAGTGAGTGCTGATGCACCTGCTGTGTACAGACGGATTTCAGGTCCAACACCATGGATTAAAGTTCCGTGGGTTATGTTCCATGCAAGTCTGCTTCTTATTTAGAGTGTTGTTTAAGCCTAGTCATGAAGCCATCATAATGCTAGTATGCCACTGTAACCACCCACTACTGTAGTCCTCTGTCGCAGGAGCGCAGGGTACTCGGCTTACCGCGCGGAGAAAGCGACGCGTTCCCACCAGGTGATCTCATGACATGCACGCTAGGTCCCAACGGGGAGACTGCACCCTGAACCTCGAAACCATGATCGCTCGTGACAAGGCGTCGCGAACGCAAAGCTCTCTAAAGAAGCCAATTGAGTCAAGCTTTCATGTAAGCATACACTACGCCTTCAAGTTGTGGCTTTGTCGGTTATGCATAGCAAGAATAGCGCCCCTGCCCATGCAGTGAAAACTGCGGCCAGCTGCCATTAATCTCGAGCACTGCACCCTGAATCCAACTCTCTGAATTGGAGGACCTTCCCAAAGGGTCCAAGTAGCATTATAGTAGGTACTTAGTACCTTAAAGTATAATTATACTATATGTTAGTACCCTCTAAAGTATATACTATATGGTCACTTGGACCTTTTGGGCTTCGTCTCAAGCTTTCAGCCGCCAGAATCCTCGCCGGTCCAAGCAGGCTCGAGTCCCTTCACCGAAGCCTCCAGAAGGGCAGCCCTTCCGAAGCGCTGTGCTATCTGGGAGTTTCCGAAAACTACGGGTACCTTTTTGGGGGGTCCTTATAAGAAGGATCCTATTACTTAGGGTCCTATATTAGGGTCCCCTCCTTTCGGAAACTCCCATCTTGCGAGTCCCTGTTCGTTAAGGACCCTTCATGAGTCCCGAAGCCCAAACGACGAGAGCCCTTAGGAAAGAAGGACGGAGGGTTTAGGGGAGGACTCTCCTCCCGCACAGGTCTGGATCGACGAGAAAGGCTTCAACCGCTCCCTCTACGAAGCGCTGCGGCCCTTCCGCCTCTAGGGCACCAAAGCGGAGAATAACCTAAGCAACACAGAGAGAGAACCTAGTTGGGGGGTTGATGTTGAGATTTAGCTTTAACAGTAGGAGGGTCCGCTGCCATGAAGAATGCAGTGTAAAAGAGCTCATTGCAAGATTCCGAAACCGCTGTACCTACCAAACTTAAAACTCCCGAGCTGCTAAACACTGCTACAGGAGCCTGAAAGATTGCCTATGCTATTCCTTAGGACCCGCAAAACCTTATTCCAATTATCAAAGCTCCTATGCAACGACGTCAAGCTTCCACGAAATTATCAAGCCTAAACCCTAAACCTGATGACTATACAAAAATAGCGGACCCAAAATCCCAAAACAGGTTTGAAGGGCCTCTTATGGAACCCTATAGATCCTAAACGCGAAGATCGCGACATCCGACGGCCGAAGGCCTCCGGCAGCCTGTCGCGAGGAATGTGAAAAACTCGCTGAGGGGGGAAGAGATTCGTTATGTTTAATTTTCCAGTTCTCCAAACCAAATATGTGCTCGTAAAAGGATACATATATATATATATATATATATATATATATATATATATTCATACATATATACATAGACAGACCCAGGTAGGTATCAAGGACCAAGTCTTTGCAGGTATACTTGGCTTCTGAAGGGCTTCTTCGGAACCTTGCGACTTCCACAACTGACGAACCTCTCTCTCTCTCTCTCTCTCTCTCTCTCTCTCTCTCTCCTGGTATGTTACGCTTTCGCAGGGGTCGCATCTGCGGATTGCTGCAATCTGGCAGGCTCTTGCTAAAGTTGGTCATAGGTAGCACTCCTAAACCTCTGCACGCTAAACTGCACGACCTTCCATTCTCCGCAGCCTGCAGCATAGACACATACATCTGCATCCCTGGTCCTGTTTCGTCTTATCTGGCTCGAGGTCTTTGCACCTTTTGGCCGTGCTAGCTTGCTGCTCTCGCAGGTTTAGGTTTTTGCTCTCTGTCGCGATGTGGCGCCGCGTGGTGTGCCTGGCTTTGCTCGGAGTTGCTTCTGGGGATGCGGTCTCGTCGCAGAGCATATGTGCTGAAAGGCGAGCAGATACCGACCCTAAACCCTAAACTGACCACCGGAGACGCACCATCCAAACCCACATCAGATAGACGGCTCCCAAACCGCAGATGCATCCCAACAACCCCTAAACAAGGGTTCTGGTTCATTGAGCGCGAGTTCTCGCAGCCCTAAACCCCAAACCCTGAGCCCACAGCCCACTTGTGCGACTGGAAAAAGGGAAACCGACAGCCTAAAACCCCCAAAACCCAAAAGTCGAAACTTGAAAGTCTGAACCCTATAAACCATAAATAGACTATCATATACTATACTATGATATACTATATTATACTATATTAAGCCAAAAGCCCTACAGCACTAAAGCCCGAGCCCTACTTGGAGAATCATGGGACTTAGTAAGTAAGGTTATAAGTACCCTAATTGGGGTTATAAGTATAGTTTATTGCAAAATGCTTCTTGAATTTATGGGATTAAACAGAAAAGCAGATCATGGCATTAATTCGATTGTAGAGGGCATGTATCGCTTGGCGCAGCGACCGCCACTAGGACGGCAACAAGCGGTGACATCTGATGCTGCGCTACAGACAATTGATGAAGACTTGCCTCGTGTCAATTTTGCTAGCGGTCAGCACATGCCATACGGCCAGTTTCCGATATCAAGTTAATGATGCTTCACAACTGACGGACTTCGCAAATGGTGGCACGTTGCCTTGTCGCTTAAGCGACTGCAAACCAAGGCCCCTAAGCCCTCAACTTGGGACCCTGTTGAATTTGTGAAATCCTGAGAAACAAAAAGCCCCCAAATCTAAACATCATTGCAGCCGCACTCGGCTTGAGCTCCGCCCTCAGCCCTCAGCCAAAGGTGCCTTTTGTGTTCAAGAGACTTTGTTTTAAGTCGTTGCTTTTTTGGTCGGTTTTGCTCCCCAGCTATTCCGCTGCCATGTCGCTGCCTCTTCTGTTTTCAATCGCTTGCCTCAGGCGCCGCTGGCGAAGTTTTGAGTGGGGCGCTTTGGGGTGGTTTGGGTGTTCTTCTATGATCCCGGAAGTTTATGAGCTCGTGGAGAGTCATATAGGAACCTGATTAAGAAACCTTGGGGCGTTTTTTAGGGTTCCTTATATGAAGCCTACTATTTTTGGTTTATAGGTCCAGGGTTTCTTAATCGAGGTTCCTACAGTACTCTTCAAGACTCGGAGCCCCAAAACCTGTCGCCCAGGAAGTATTACTTTTATTGTGGTTCTAAGGGGGGGTATAGCAAGGCTGAACGCCACCTTAGAAGGTGCACCCACCCTGTAATAGTAACTATAGGGATTGTATTAGGGCCCTATTATATTCCTATTGTACCACTATTACAGGGTGGGGGCCCCTTCTAAAGGCCAGCGGTTTTGAGCTGACGTCAGGTGGGCTGCTGGCGAAGTCTGCAAGGGCGAGGGCTGCGAGGTGGGGAAGATGCGGGTCGGGGTTTCCCAGAGAGCCCAATACCCCCTAGTTAAGGAAACGTCACAAACAGAGGGCGATCTTCATAGCTGTGCGCTGAAGAAAACCGCACAGTGCCATGTAGCAGCGGATGTGCTCTGTCTTTTCGTGACTCAGATCACAGGCATACATGTCGACTCGAATCCTAGTTTCCAAACCGACCGAACACTTCAAACACCCTTCAGCTCAAGCCCAGCCAATGAGCAGACCGAAGGAAGCTCCTTCAAGAAACCTCCAGAAACCCAGTGACACAGAGAGACCGACAGAGAAGTATATTCTATTAGACTCTGTTATACTATACATTCTCTTATTTCTTGTGGTTTCATGATTGTACTATATTCTGCTAGTTTCTATTGTCTATATATATATATATATATATATATATATATATATATATATATATTTATTTATTTATTTATATCAATACTGTATATACTCTATATACACTACATATACTACATATTATATATTATACACTATATATTATATATTGCATCGCATTCAGGATTGGGCCCCGAGGGCCTTGCTTGGTTTCCCTGCGAGGCCGGTGAGACCGAGGCCGAGACCTCCGAGCTGCTGCAGCACTCGACGAAGGAGCTTTCCAGTGCTTATGTGCAATAATGTTGCAAAACCACAATGCGAAAACTTTCCGGCCACATGACATGCAAAAGCATGAAGCACATGCCATGCTGCCTGCTCACACCCGTCCGCACGCCTTTCCGGAACTACGTAATCAAGACCACTTTACTCCATGATCCGATTTCCAGCGTTCACTCCGAAGCTGTCCGGCTACATGCATCTCTTGCGCCTGTATGTGTGGCATGCGTCTGTGTCTTTGTACGTCTGCACCGGCTCCATCACTGCCTTCGTCGAGAATGGGACCATCACCAGTCTGATGGTGCGAAGGTAGCGATGATAGAAACATTTAGAACACGAAGGTGGTCTAGAACAGCTAGGATGTGTGTCACTCTCCTGTGTTGACTACCGTCAGTGAGAAGCATCAGGATGAGCCAGGCTGGCTCGCACATGTGTGTGTGTGTGTGTGTCTCAAGAAGTTTTGCGACTCTTATGCCAGCAGATCTGTTCCTCTTGTGACTTGTCGGGTGGCGGCTGGCATGATGGTCGTAACTACTTCCACGACGATGACTCGCATGTCTCGAGAGTTGTTGCCGTGCTGACTCGCTGGATGCTGTGGTGCACGAGACGATTGCATAGTTGATGATGTAGGCATGCTTTAACAACCAGCTTTCGGGCAGCAAAGACAAAGAACCCAATACTGAAGCAGTTCCGCTCGTCTCAGTGCATGGTGGAACTTGAGTATTGAATGTCTCAATACCGCTGCTCAACAGGATCAGCCTCAACCTTCGGAGTATCAGAATACATTCACTCCGAAAGTTAAGAAAGATCGAGATGTCGAAGCAAGCTGGGGTCGTTTGCCGCAAGCAGAAATGGGCCAGGATGCTTGGTGGTGGCAGCGTCATCGCTGGGGCTACAACCGCTATGGGTACAACCGCTACAACTCGCAGCCTGGGTTGTGAAAGACCTGTATCTTGAATCTTTAGGCATACCTGCCACATACATGTATGCGTGCCCCCGCATGCATGAAGGCTCTTGGTATGCTTAGACAACATACATACATGTGTATGGAGGTTTTTGTATGTGTAGACATATACATAAACCTACATGTGTGTATATGGCTATGTTGTTGTGTGTACGTATGGCAAGCATGTGTGCGTGTGTATGTATGTCTACATATACACATTCATGTGAATACACGCAGTTGGGCAAAAAACACATTCGTGTACGTGCATACAAACCTATGTAGTTCGTGGATGTACTCGTTTATGGGTGGATGGATGCTTGTTATGTTAGCTGTGTGTCGGGATATATATATATATATATATACATATACATATACACACACGTAGATATGCATGTACGTAGATTGGTATTTGTGTATGTGGGTGTGGGTATGTATGTCTGCATGTTGGTTTGCATGGATTTATGCCGATACCGTGCAATGTGTATGTATGCAAGCATACATAGTGCACGCATGCATGCTTGCATGTGACTGTAACATTTAGTAGATCTCCGTATACATAACCATACAGATATTCATGTGTATATATATACACATATACACACATATGGACACATACGTATATACATACATACACACATATGTACGTATATACATGTATACATAGATACCTAATCGTGTATACCGACATACAAGCATATACACGTATGTGTACATAGGTTCATGTGCATGTATGCTTGTATACATACATAAATACATACATACATGCGTACATATGTTCATACTTGCATACGTACACAGAGACCCCGTGTTGCTTCGGGCTGCTCAGCCGTATTCCTTCACCTTGCCTCATGCTCCTTGAAGCAAGGTCGGGTCCCAGCAGGACGAAGGCTGATAATGTTCAATAATTCCCTATACTATTCCTTAGGGTTCCTTTAGAGTTGTTTTCCTTAAAGAGGTCTATATAAGGGATCTATAGTAGGATTTTGTGGATAATGTACTGGGGGCCTAAAACCAGTTTTATGGTTAGGATCCTGTCATAGAGATTTTGGTGAAACCAAGATAAGGAACTGCAATGGAGCAGGTAGGGGCCTAAATATAATTACTAATACTATTTGGGGGGTTCCTCATGAAAGATAGTAGAATGGGCCCCAAAGCCCTAGTCTAATTATTCAGGCCCCTAATACCTCATTAAGTGACCTGGCTCTTGTTTGCGGTTCTCATGGATCAAGCCCGTTGGCGAGTAGAGAGGGGGTGTTCTCAATCAGCTTCCTACAAGCATCAGCTTCAAAGTAGTCGATCGCATTGCAGCTGCTCGGATGGCAAATGGTCGACAACCCTAGACCGTTAGTTTCATGTTCACTCCAGCTCAAGATTCATGTCTGTCGTGCTCGAAAGCACCAAGACCCACGAACCAGGTACGGCAAGTATAGCTCCTATGGTGGCGGAGGACGCTTCGCTGCACACCCCTAGCCCCTTGAGGAGCCCACCTGCAGGTGGAGCCGCTAATGATCTTTGAGGGTCCGCTATGAGGGGCTTCGGACATCTTCGAGCTGCCCAGCAGGTTGTTGCCCAGAAGTAGTCCGTAAGGGCTCTAGACTCTATACGCTGATAAGTGCCGCCGCCCGCCCGTTCAAAGCCGGAAACCTCGATTAAGTTTAACCGACCCCGCCGCTGGTGTCCGTTTCTGGGATGTCCTGATACTGCGGATCCGACTACTTCGGGAGCGTCGGTCTGAAACCTCCCCATATTCCGGGCCAGCAGGGCTCCCCCGCGTTGCTCGCACTTTAGACCCGACACCACGAACCCTGAAGCCTGCATCCCAAACTCTACGCTCCAAAAACCCTTCGAGGACGCTTGGCAAAAAGCCTAAGAAGCTGGAAACAGACTCAGAGAAGCCAACCCTAAACCCTAAACCCCTAAACCCTAAACCCTAAGACGAGGAAAGAAGCCCAACATCCTCGTCATCATCGTCGACGATCTTGGTTTCAATCAGGTGCCATACTCGGAGCTACTGCTAGGAAGCCCATGCTACTTGGAGGTTCATGGTTAGTTATAAGTGGGTTATATGTTCCCTAAGATGGGCTATAAGTATAGTTAACCTACTTATAACTACCCATGAACCTCCAAGTAGAGGTGCAGCATGGAGGTGAATTCACATCTAGTGCCTACGACTGCTGTTTTTTTTCTGGGTTCATTTTGGACACTCTCATCTCGGCCCTTTCACGGAGAATCTTGATTTGGGCTCGTCTCTAGAACTAATTGACCGGAAATCCGGCTTCCGGGCTGTGACGATAGTCACAGGGACAAAACTCTGAGGGCGCTGGTACTGCTAGCCGCTGCTTCTGCAGCCAGCTCGACTTCAGATTCTGACTGCAAAGGAAGCCATTGAAGTGATTGTGCCTTCATTCTCAATGAATGTTGATCCCGCGGACTGAAGGCCTCAAATTCGAAGGCCAATGCATCTCAACCCTGCACATCCAGGTCCTGAGCATTGTCATTAAATTTGGTAGTGTGTTCTTTGTCTTGTTTGCCAATGCTTCTGTCCTTCTTCTGAATTTGAATAACCAGCACCAGCACCATCCGGTACAAAACGAAACCCTGGACTGCAAGCTTTGTTTGCACGCTGCCTTGGCAATCAACCTGACAAAGGCAACCAGAATTTAGTCAACGGTACGGGCAATGTAGCAGCACCCGAAGGAAGATTGGTAGGTCTATTAGCAATGCCAGTTCAGAATCAGACCAGATGAATAAGAACGACGATGTGGGTATGATACGGCTTCGGGTCTAGGTATGCCGGTAAGATCGACTCAGACTCTTTTATTGGTCAGGTTGGATTCCGCGCCAATCCGGCCAACAACTCTGATGTTGTCACCCCCAACATCGATCAGCCGCATGTCGATCGAATCCGCTTTCTGGGTGGCACGTTGTGATACCTCTTGTGCTCCCTTGTGGTTTAATAGAAGTACGTAAGTACTTATTCATAGATAGTTGTGGGGGACCCTCAAGCCACAGCCCCGTCACATCTCCTTTAGACCCACCAGACGCCAAAATCCCCCAGACTCCTCGCAAAGACCTGACCCAGGGGTGTCCCGCCGACTCCCGAGTCGTATGCTCTGCAGGGATGTGGGCGGCCCCTGAACCCTTTACGCACCCACTAAGCACGCCACTGTCACGAAGATAGGGATCGTCTCAGCAGATAATGGCATACAAAGCTCATAGACTTCATAGACTTAGAGCTTGTTGTACAGGGTATGTGTTTATGCATGTTTCAGTGGATTATGTTGAAACATACCTATGTGTGCATCCAACCGTTGGGTGTGGCATGGTTTCCTGATTGTATCATCGGCATCCACACTGGGCCACTCCCGGTGCTATCACATCACAGAATGAGCTGTGTCTGCACGGCTGACGGTCACCAGGGTTGGTTTTGTGTCACCGGGCATGCAGATGACAGCATGATCGCGCACGCTCTATAGAACTTGGCGGGTGGGACTCTGCCGGACGACTCCGCAAACGCGCCCTTCCAGCCTACAAAGTGCCTTCCCCATATCACGGCTAACTTTGGACTCCCAAGCCCTCCATGTTGTCGGATATCTTCCCATCCCATTACAGAATCAGCAGTGTTGCCACTCATGCTTGGAAGTAGTCCGTCACGGATCGTAGATGTTTCTTGCTTGAGACCCATACGATGCTGTTACTGGTGAGTGCATGCCGCTTTTGTTAACAATCGTCATTCTGTTGATTGGTGCTGCCTGAGTTTTGTACCCAAGGCTGGCAGGTGAAGGCATCGTCATGGATCGGTTCTATACGATGCGCGGCCGCAAGCTTTTATGTCGCGGCTGCAAGTGGATATGTATCGAATTTGCAGTTTTGTTGAGAAGGGTCCAGCTTTATGGCTGCTGTGTGGTGGAGGCATCGTGACACTTTGGCTGCAACTGCACGCAGAGCCCGAGGACTCCCTGGTGTGCCCCCAGCCGCGGAGCCTTGCAGACAGGCCGGGGTTCGATCTTCAAAGCCATACTTGGAGGATCATGGGACTTAGTAAGTAAGGTTATAAGTACCTTAATTGGGGTTATAAGTATAGTTACCCTAATTATAACCCTAGTTACTAAGTCCCATGATCCTTTAAGTAGGGACATATGGTGGTCTCTTGAGATTAAAGGTCCGTCTACTACTGTGGCTCAGCATTCATACCCCCAATTTTCGAAATGCCCATACCGTTCATGCGTACACGTGTGCGATAGGTAAAGACAGTCCCATAAAATATACTACTGTGCATATATGCTGTATCAATATCCATAAAGTATGCTACTCCGCATAAAAACATGCATACATACATACATACATACATACACAGATGTATACATATGTATATGTACAATGTGTATATATATATATATATGTGTATGTACAGATATGCAACATAGACATACATACATATGTATATACATGTGTGTGTGTATATATATATATATATATATGCACGTGTGTGTTTGTGTGTGTGTGTCTGTGTGTGCATACAGCATGTATACATGGGACCATGCATGTAGGTCTCAGAAGTGAACGTTTGGCGACGCAGCTCTTCTCTGAGACGTTGATTCTGTAGAACGACAGCTTTGGCATAATAGGAAGCATACACTCCATCCGTCCGTCCACCCATCCATCCAGGTATGTATGTATGTATGTATGTATGCATATGCTTGTGTAAATGGGTGTACCACGCACGCACACATCTTTACATACATATATACATGTATGCACACATACATATACGTGTTTGCGGGTAGCATCAATCGCGCATCGTGCGTCAGAGTGTGACTCTCTGTGCCCACGTGCGGGTGTGCAAAGCTGGCTTCTAGCACATATCATCGGCGTATATTCCACAGTTTGCAACAGAAGAGAAGTTCCCGCAGGAACTGTAGTCATGCAGTCCAATGACGGCAGAACGGCAGAAGTGAACAAGCACATTTTAGTAAGATACACCGAACGTGCAGAGGACTGGGGACGAAATTGTTGATCATTACTGGCAGCTCTTGTGCTTCACGATAATGCGCCGGTTTTCAGGAACCGGTTGCAGCCTTAGTGACCAACGACCGTCCAGCCCTTTGGCGCAGGCCGTTTGGATGTCCTGAATCCCCATGTGCCGAACAATGCCGGTGACCCAGACGTCTGGCTTATCGCAGCAATTCCAATAAGGAGGATAGAAAGAAGATCTAGCTTAATATATGCATGTCTGAAGCTGGTTAAATAGAAGCACCCGGGGGCTTGATGGTATGCAGAGCTTAGGCCATTTATTGCTCAGAAGTGCATATTCCTGCCTGGTGCGCTCCTTGCATGGGCCTAGTAAGCCCATGCCGAAGATCCGAGGCGCTGCCTGAATCTGATGCTCTGAAACCCGAAACTCTAGGACTCTAGAATTCCCCAAGATCCCGAACCCTGAAACCCCAAATCCCGACACCCTGCAGCTTTGCATCGTTACGACTGCTGAGCACCTCCGAACTTGGAAGCTTCCGCAGCACGGAAGAGAGCGACACCTCTTTTTACCACGGCCTACGGTTTTCAACCCCCCAAAGCCCAAGCTCAGCCAGGTGTGGAATTGGGATCCGAACGCCAGCTACGTGGACCTGGAGCGGCCGCATACACAAGGGCACAGCCATGATTCGTTCCAGAATGCTTGCAAGCGTAAATCCTGAACCTAAGTATAGTATGGTATACCCAGCACTATTATCGTAGTAACTGCCTTGCCCGGTCGGCTTCGTTTTGCTAATCCGTACAGCACATTTAAAAAAGCATCGCCGCGGCCCTGTCAAAGCAGCGAATGTTGGAGAAAGACGTATCGCTGCTTGGCATGGGAGCCCAGAAACGCAAGATCACTGAAGGAATCTTCGGAGGATCCTTAGTCAGAGACCCTCAGATACCGGACAAGTCCCCTCGAGTCGGCTGCTGTCTCTGGGAAAGGAACCACATTTTGTCCCAGATCTAAGGGTCATCGAGTTTCGGGTCCTAGCACGGACGGAAGTGGGACTCTTGTCGGATTCAGAGTAGAAGCCCTTGAGCCTTCAGCCTGCGGAAGGAGCAAAACACCAAGACGACGCCAATTGTCGGAGGCCTGGAAGCCTGGACAAAACGGGCTCCAATCCGATTCGTGTTGCTTCGCCGTGAGGTTCAGATTTCTGCAGACCGCTCCACTGTTACATCCGGGAAGAACGATACTTTCAGCGCCGGCAAAGCCAAGTCCAAGAGCCCCCGCCGAGCCTTCTTCTCGCTAGGCGTCCAGCCAGGGACTTTCACGATCGCGAACCGTTTGCAGGACCTCGGACTCTCCCCTTTCTTTTTCTTTGTTTCATTGTGCCATTTAGCACCTCCTGGGCCTAAGCAGGCGCTCCAGGGGGATGCTTCGCAGTGTTTTGGACCTCAAGATTCGAGCAGCTTGTTTCTGCACCGTGAGGCCGTGGTAGCCGACCCGCTCTAACTCTAGCACCCGAGCATTATCCTCCAGCAAGGGCCGCTGTCAAGCATGATGGCGCGTGGAAGGGCCTTTGCTGGACTGAAGACCACTGGCATCTACTTTGTATAAGGGAAGCTGGGAGCAAAGGCATCTGGGAACGGACTCCCATGATTCGACAGGGAGACTTCAGGCAATCCTCCGAAAAGCCACCGACCGCATCGGACACGACACCGATATCCACGTCAGCAAGCTTCGTAGTCGACAGCTTGGAGAGCGGGGGGGGGGGCCATCATGGCACGGCCTGCGGCCCCCGCAGACAGAAGCTCAAAAGCATACCTGCAAAAAAACGCAGAAGGCCGCGAGGATCGAGCCCACAGAATCCAAACCGCACAAACTCCGAAACCTGCATCCTGTGGCCTGGAACCATCAACGCTCTCGTCGTCTACTCTATATTAAACTTCTATTTTCTACACACCACCAAACACTTCGGCACCCCGAGCGAGACAGGGTTCTTGCTGTAATTACTTATTACTGTTTTGATTGTTCTAGAATGGTGTTTCTACCCTTCGGAACCCCGAAAGCTACCCGAAGCCAGAGGAGCTTGGATATCGAAATCACCTGAATGGCAAGTGGGGCATCGGAGGCGGTGCCTATCTCAACACACCCATGGGAATGGGCTACGAGCCGCTTGGCCTTCATTTCTAGAAGCTTCCCCGGGCTTTAGCTTCCTTTGTTCGTCCGGAGCTGTGTGCCCGTAGCTATGAAAGGTCAAAAGTCATGATCTCTTCTAGAAGGCCAGGTTTTGAGCCCACGCCTCTCTGACCGAATCTGCGGTCGTGGAAACTGTGCTGAGCCCTATAAGCCCAAGACATCGATTCCCAAGCCAGATCAGTCAGAGACAGTGAGAAAAGTCTGACAAAGCCCGAGACGAGCGTTTGCTGCTTGGAGCGTCCAAGTGAACCAACGCGGAATCCTTTCCAAACTCTACACCCGTACCCCGGACGCCCTGAACCTCTTGCCCGTAACGAATGCTCTGCGACTGCGCTTGAGGACATTCATGGGCTGGTTCGGTGACAGCATGGAAAGCTGCGACGGCACCGAGCCGGGATTCGCAGTGGGAGGCGCCGTGACGACTTGAAGTTGATAGTCGCTGGAAGGTGCTCTCCAGCCTGAACCCGAAGCCTCTAGCCCCAACTTGCAAAGCGTGCAGAAGGCTTCCACCCCTCAAAGCAAGCGGCCAGGAGCTTCGACCCTGATGAATGCTCTGCCGGGCTTCTGGCGACAGGTGGGGACGCTCCGGTGGCCGAAGAAAGCCATCGCACAACCTAGGGAGGGATGGGTTGGTCAACAACGTTCATGCCTAGAAGTCTGGAACACCCGCTCACGTGTCAGGGCCTGACAATGTGGATGTATGAAGGCATGCAGGTTGGGCGGGGTGCTTACGGCAACATATAAGGTTGATTGCCATTGCAACTGCGATTGAACAAAACGACAGACCCCAAACCCAAACCCCCAGAATCGAAGCCTCCCTATGACAGGACGGTATGGAGTCCTACAATTCCTCCTGGTGCGACCTGGTACGACACTGGGCCAAACTTCATGCTCTTAGGACGTCGGCAATACTTTCGTTTCATGTCACCTCTACATCCTCTGCTGCTTCAATCCCCATAGTCAGATCCCATCATCCGGGAGCCACGGTAGTGCTGCAGTGGTAACACAGCTTCTTTGCCCCTACCTTCCATAAGCAGTGTCAGCAGGCTTGAGCTGTCATGGAGACAAGCGGAAGCAGCATCCACAGACTGCATCCTTATTACGGCACAGGTTCCAGCGAGCGTTCTCGCGATCTTTATGCACATTGTCTTACACGCATTGCCGGAGCGATGTTTGTTGAAGCTTTTTTGCCGGTTACAAGTATGTTCGTCCGACAAGTCTTTCATCCAAAGCCGTGGGTTCCATTCCTGCCTAGTCGCGGAGCTGCGTCTTGGAAACCTCGACGAGCTGGAGGCGATGGTTGGCTGCAAGAGTTTCAAGGAGGCCTCACCCGCAAGGGAGGGCTGGGAGGGCTGCAAGGGTTACAAAACGAGTTCCAAAGTGCGGTGGGCACTTCAGAGCTCCGAAGATCCAGGCTCCCCCAGAGCGATTGTCTCTTGTGCCTTCGCATCTCCGCTCCATGCGAGCCCGAGCCGTGGCAGCTGGCACGAGGCGCTCGATGATGTGGCTGATGAGAAAATCCGGCGGCGGTCGCGGCAGATTATTGTGGAGCACGACTACGAGGAGGTCCCCTCTGAAACCCTTCGAGTGATGTGGTTCTAGTTCTGAGACCTTATAGATCCTTCTGGGTTGCAACCGCGTGGCCCAGCAGTTGAACAATGGAGCAAGCCAGAGAGAGAAAGCGAGAGACCGAAGCTCGGCGAAAGAAGAGAGCAGGAAGGAGGAAATAGATCCCTCAACGAGCAGACAGACGAACAAAGCAACGTCAACCCAAAGGATCTCCAGAAGCATGCCTGGAAGCTGCCTTTTTAGCAGAATATCATACCATATCCTCTCAAACGCAGGCACCTCTCTTCCTTGTCCACGCTCTGCAGCTCATGCACCTGCCCTCCGGCCTCTTTCGGAACAGGGCTTCTTCCGAAATTGCCAAGGGCCCAGGAGTTCCCGGAGTCTTAGCTTGGCAGGTGTCCAAAATGGTTCGATAGAGTGCGAAATAGCCGGATCTTTTGTAATGGTGAAGGGAATACTCCTCAGTGAGGGGATGCTGGAGTCGGGAGGCAGTGGATGCACTCTCCCAGTGGTGCACCCTGACTCCCGCATGAACTCGAGACTAGCCCAGGAGGTCAGTTTTAAAAGAAACAGAGCCTTCTTCCAGCGTCTTGGTTAAAGATGGAGCCACCAAGTCGAAGCCCAAAAAAGAAACACAATAAGCGCTTGGCATTGGCCCCCAAGCCTCGAATCTAAAATCCCGACAGCTGCGTCAACCTGGTAGCTGCAGCCTGCACTCACTGGCCATCAAGTTGGAGGTTTCAGGGGAGAACTTGTCGCTTGGAGTTTGACTGACGGGCCTGCGGTTTCAGGGCGACAGCTCGAAGCAACCTCCCCACACACGCACACACAGACACACAGACACACAGACACACAGACACACAGACACACAGACACACAGACACACAGACACACGCACACACACAGACACACAAACACACACAGACGCCCACACGCACACACACACAGCTCCGGAACTCTCTGTGTGTGATCCTTGCGATTTCCTTGCGGCCCACGAAACATTCAAACAGAACCGCATCGTCTTCTAATCCGAGAGGCCCTCAGAACGTACTTGACAAGAGATGTCCGCCTTCGAGGCCCATCCAATATCCACGCCGGTTCGCTCCGAAAAATCGGACTCTCGGCCGGGTAAGGCAGCACTTGCATGTCGCAACATGGCAACAGGCATAGACAGGCTTGAACCTGGATGTCTTGAGATGCCTCAGCAACGCTCGCACACATTTGTTACACATATACAGATACAGAGAATGTCAAAACATAAAACATATGGATCGTCAGATCGCACCCTGCAAGGACGGAGGATTACAGCCGCCCGCAGAACGAAGATCTGCGGGCTGCGACCTACGGAGCGCTCGGACACCGGGATGATCAGACCAGAAAGCTCCTTCACAACTCCAACAACCCAAAAATGCTAGAGTGCACTGCTCCGCTCTGCATGTATACATGTAAGACATGCAGCCAACCCTCACTTAGATGCAGTAGAGCCAGTGAGATGTGTTCTGAGGTCCCGTCCTACTGTAGCATAGTGCTCTTTTCGATATTCGCCCCTTCGCACCTCGGGAAAAGAAAGTCCCTTCAGAAGTTCCTGGCTCTGTCCTTCCTTTGAGCTCCGTGACAGTCGCCGGAGGGTGTAGGGGATGGAGAGCTCTTCAGCGCATGTCTTCCCCCAAAGTGCGAAAAAGCCTCTCAGCCCCAAAACCCTTAAGCCCCAAACACTCAGAATACGTGGACTGGGTGGTGGGGGACCTCATCTCGGCCGTGAAGGACTCGGCTGGGGAGTTTTGGGGTACTTTTCGATCAAGTCTTGGAATTCCTCTGCTGTATTTAGGGCCTTACAATAGGTTTCTACCACGACTTGGAGTTTATTTTGCAGTCCCTTCTAGTCTGAATCTGCCACTTGGGGTTTCGGACCGTTTCGAAATTAGGGTTGTAGGGTTACAGGTTTACGGTAGTACGACCTCCCCCTTCTTTGAAGAGGAGCAAGGCCAGTACGAGAACACCATCATTTTCTTCACCTCCGACAATGGCGGCGCGATCTATGCAGGCCTTTGCGATTCAATACATTTTGTGTTTGGTCCACAGCACGCATCGCCCGAAAAAGGCCTTAAACTGAAATAGCTCCAGAAATCCTCTACCTGGACGGAGGCACTGCAAACAACAACTACCCGCTCCGCGGTGGGAAGTTCAACAACTTCGAGGTGTCCCAAGGGAACTCGAGGGGCTTTGCATAGGGTCTTTGCAGCTGTTTTTTGTTTGGGGCTGAGGCTTCAAAGGTACTTTTTAGGATCCTTTTAGGCTCCTGCCTTCGGAGGGCGGCCAACGCGTGAACGCGCTCTGGGCTGGCGGCTGGGTGGGTAAGCAGCTGGACAAGGCCGACTCCGGCAGATTCCAAGTTTCCAGTGGATTCTGGCAGATTCTAGCCTGTGGCCTGCCGGAGAGGGCTGCTGCAAGTCCTGTAGATTTCGGCTAGCTTCAAGCCGTGAACCGTAGCGAGCGCAGAACTACTAAATTCTTGCTGCCCCCCCCCGTGCCCCGTGCTGTTCCAGTACCGACTGTCGCCCTTCACTAGCGACACGGTGATGTCCATCAACGACATGGCCGACATTTGGCGGCAAACTGACATGACCTGTCGCACAGAGCTACGGCGGGAAGTTTCCCGATGGCATAGGCATGTAGAGGACTCGTTGAACAGTATCAGCTGCAGGGACAAGACCATCTTGAAGTGGTTGCTTCCGGCACTCGAAGGGGTTGCTTCTGGTACTCGAAGTGTGGTGACGGCCAGCACATTCTGTAGTTGGCCCTTGTCTAGCTATTGATACTGCTGACTGACACCGTCGTTTGAAGTGCAGTGGATGCTGTCACATTCTCATGACGACTTTGCAGCAAACTATCTGCCGAAGAAGACTTACGAAGGCAAGAACAACAATCTCAACCGCCGCTACCAGCCAAGCCAGTACCGCATTCGCTGCTATGGCAGATGTCTGATCAAGAACAAACCCGCTGAGTCAGGTTATGTCAATTGCATTCACTTCTCAAGTTGTGCTTTCAGCGGGGTTTCTCGCTAGAGCTTTGGCAAAGGCTCCGACCTTCCATCCCATATTACTCCCACACACCGTCCGTCGTCCCACTTCCTTACTCCCGGCCGACAAGTTCTCCCAAAAAACACGGCACCGCTTAGGAGACGTTGCTGGAGATGATCACGGGCAGGCACGGGGAGCAGGAAGCTTGTGGAAGAGGAGAGCGGGCTTCGCGTTTCAAGGTGGGTTCAGTCATGGAGTAGTTGTGTCCACAGAAGCCCTAGGCTGGTGGAACAGCCCCTGCATGCTTAAGTAGAGCCGGCGCTGAAACCTACGTCAGACCCGCCCATAAAGCCTCAAAAATCTGCAGATGCCGGTGACACCGTCCTAATTGAATCCGACCTGGTCTTCTGCAGCAAACGCCAGGCCATACCCAGACGGAGGCATGCGGAACGCACCTGGAGCCTTGGAAACAACGCTCCGAAATCGAAGCGAAACGGGCGAAATGTAATCTTCCAATGGATTTGATTTCGTGTTGGGTGTGTGTTTGTGCGTGCTCCGATACTAGAGATACATATATATATACACACACACGCACAGTTGGACTACAATGAGCTGGTGTCAAAGACTTTCGCCATGTCAAGGAGTTCCAATTTCAATTTCAAGCTGGCTGACCCACACCAGAGCCCCTCCCTCCACGCGACAGCGACGGCTCACAGGATCGGAGTAGGAGAGCTTTGCAGTGATACCGTTTTGCCACTGATCTTGGTCGGAGCTCTGGCACACCACAAGCCGTGAGCCCGAAAGTCCCGGGCAGATAGGAGCTGAGCTGGAAGCCCCAGATGCCACAACCCACTCTGAGGCCTCTCAATTCTCAATTCTCCGCAAGCAGAAGTAGTACCCACAACCTTTCCCGACCGCACCAAAAGGCAGGAAAGTCCGCAGCTCTGAGGACCCCTCACGGGAGTGCCCATGTGGAAAGCCATCCTGGACAAGACCCAGGCAAGAGCCGAAGAGAGCCCGCCAATGGGGGGGAAGCCTGCTGAAGCTGAGTCTTAAAGTTAGGGCGGATGCCTGACATTGCTTCTCGAGTCTCCAGAGTTTAGGGTTTCGGAGATGCTCCAGGCATGGCAAGAATGCACCTATAAGAGCTCCTAGCATGTCCGGGGCCCATGAACAGATGCCACTCACACGTCCGGCACCAGAAGCCGAGTTTCATGTCGACCTACTCGAGCACTGCAGTTTTCCCAAATGCAAGGGTGCAAGGCTTTGTATGTTGCCTTTTGCAGGCTTGAACCCTTTGCCCGATCCTCTGGGAAAACCAGTGAAGCGCACAGCGCCAACAAAGGCGCAAGTTCAGGGTCCGAAATTAAATGCCAGTAAGAGGCTGCCAAGGTACTGCACTGCGGCGGGAATCATGGTAAGTCCTTCCGTTCCACTAAAGCACACCTAAGCATCCAAACTTCACCCCTTGCCTTCAAACCCTAAGCCGTCCTACTGGGGTTCTTCCTGGGCAGGTCCCGCGCAAGATCACCTATTCTGAGGTCATGGAGCTGCGTCCCTGGGCTCACCGGTGAGGTTATTGCAGCCGAAGCAAGATGTGCTTCGGAGTGTTGAGGATTTCCTGGTTGGCTCTGGGGCATGTCTTCGGAACCCGTCCGAACAGAAAGGCTGCTTCCCAAGCCGCTACAAAGTCCCGTACTTTTTGGAAGCCACTTCAGATAAAGGCTGTTTGTTATGCAACGAAGATTGGACTACCTGATTCCAGATCACAAACTCCGTGCTACAACGCGCAGGAGAACTGAACCACTTGTGACAGAGCAAGCCGTAAAGCTGCAAGCCCTGGTTCCGGGTTTAGGGCCTCGGGCGGTTTAGGGTCTGTCTTACACCATCCTCATGACCAATCTTCATTGGACCTCAGGGAATCGTCGGGTCTTTCGATAGCATACTTTGCTGGATTGCATTGACATGGGTCGAGCCATACAACGAAAAACAATGCACACAGTTGATGATGCAAGGCAGTCCCACGATTCCTCGGCAAGTTCTTCAGAATACGAGGCTGTCCATGAGGGCCGCGCTGCGAAAATAATCGACTCGTTCAAGGGTACGATATGCCCAGCACCAGAAACGCCAGACATCGCCAGACACCAGTTCCAAGCTGGGACTCCTTCCCTGAGCAGTGGCAGGGAGGGGCTGGCAAAACGAAGCGCTGCAACAGCAGAACTGCGATTGCCCACAAATGAAGAACACAATGTATATGCGGAACCGGAGAGAAACACCCCGCACTTCGACCTTCTCTCTGTGTGCCGCTCTTTTTGCGCTTCTGGAGCCGAGGAGTGGGTCCGAACATCGCAGATTTGAAGAAGATTTGGTTCACGGACACCCGGCTTAGGCTTGGCTCAGGTTGAAGCCTAAGCAAAGTTGCAGAGGAGCCGTGACGAACGCTTCTGTCTTGTGCCTGACCCAAGCCGGCGCTGCGCTCAGGAGAACAACACCCTCATCTCTGATGGGAACTGGACACCCAACTTCCCCAACAACTCCGAGTTTATCCCCGACTTCGGCTACAAATATATTCGACCTTGCAGTGGCCTGGCCTGTCCGAGTTTGAGACCCATTCAGAGAGAAGGTCTGCAGTTTGCAGTTTAGCCGCGGGTTTCGAAACTAAAAGAACTTCGTAGCTTGAGCAGACGAGCCAAGGCTCGTCCAAGGGTCCCAGAAGGGTCCGTCCGAGTTTGGAGTACTCAGTACAGGGCATCCCCCGAAATCCTGAGCTCGAGGATGGGGGGGAGTTTCGCTCTTGGACTCTGCTTACCTTTGGTAGGGAATGGAGGAATGGGGTACTATTATAACTACTATTACTACCATTCTTCCATTCCCTACTAACCAAAGGTAAGTCTGGGAACCCTGGGATTCGTCAATGCTCTGCACAATACATCTCACAGCTCGGCTAAGCGTCCACAACATACCACTGCACCGAAGACGATATCCATCCAGTAGCGGATCGCGAAGGGAGGAGGCTTTCCATGGAAACCTAGATTTTGGAGCTTAAGATGCAGGTTCAGGAGTTTGTGTTGCAGCATTTCCGGTTTCTAGGACAGCTCTCTCAAGCGAAGAGTCTTCCGCGAGGTACGCCCTACTGCTACTTTGATCTCTACAACGACCCATCAGAGCAAACGAATCTGCCCTTGGACCCAGCCGCAGAGCAGGCAAGAGCTTGGGAAGTCATCGGTGTCCTGTTGGCATCTTTGCATACACCTATTTGTTGTGTGTGTGTGTTCGTGTTGTGTGTATATATATATATATATATATGGTATATACATATATGAAAGTACGTATGTGTGCATGTATGTATGTGGGTGTACATGCGTAGAGAGGATCGCGCATACATTACGATGCGGCATGTTGGCAGTCCCGATTCTATGCGTTTGGAAGGCTGCCAAGGCTCCGTCCTGACTAGTTCGGGTTGGCTCGACTCTCACGTTCAGATGCTACCCAGTTCGCGGCTCCTGACTATCTGGGAGGGATGCGAGAGCTGGACAAAGAGTTCGAATCCAATATTGCTTGCAGTATAACTGCTGCTGAACGAGAGACTCGAAAGAATTCACGAGGACGCATGGCTTCTCTGCATCGAACAGGATGCCAAGCCCTGAGCGCGCCAACCGCAAACTTCGGGTGAAACCATCCATCACGAGTACGTTACCAAGTGCTACTTGCGGCACAGGGACCCTGAAGGTGCACACTTCTCACGGGGTCTATCCATTCTTTTGTGGCTCTCGCGCACCCCTGCCATCAGGCACTGCGATTGGAGGTGCTAGAAGACTGGAACCTGTTTGTGATCGACACTTCCCGCACCTCGCCCGAAGCGAGTGCCCACTGCTGACTTAGACATTGCCCATGCAAGCTGCTGCCTTTCTGCAGACATGACTGTTTGTATTTTGCGGATGCTGCGTTAACCTGCCTGAATGCCCACATCGCTTCTGAGGCGTCCGGCAGATAGACCTGGACACTCCAACGACCCGGAAGGTCTCGCTCTGGTGTCTTTGCAGCAGAATGCCACACAGCATTGAATGCCGTAGTCGGATCATCGCGTTCTACCTATCCAAAGATCACGACATGCGAGTCAAGACTCTGCAAGTTTCATAAAGGCAGAGGGGACAGAGGATAGGCTGCAGTGAGACACTGCAACTTGCTTCGAAACTAGCAGGACGCATATGGGCGCTTCCGGGCCTTTCCTGAGCAAAGCGGCAGAGCCCGTCATCCCACCCATAGCCGAATGCTGGTGCCAAGTGGGCCGCAAGAAGCTATTGGCTCTGTGAAGGCTACTGTAGTGTTTTGGAAAGGGAGTTGACGAGTCAGAAACAACTCGATTGTTATATACCTTGTCGAAGCTCGGCAACAAAAGCCGTGTGTAGCTCCTCGATGTTCTGTTTGTTTTGGAGTCAAGTCAGAGGTGTCCACAACCTCGACAGCCCAAGCTCCTTCCCCGATGATGTAAGCCCTGTGAAGACTCTTTCCTCGATCCACTTGGAATTCGCAACCGAAGATAGCAAGGATTGAGCACAGGCCACAGCTGTACAGAACCGGAAAGAGTGCAAGATCATCCCAGCTCGTCTATAGAGAGTCAGGGCTGTGGATCAATGCTTCACTTCCTCGCATAATCTTGTGTTCTTTGCGTTCGTCGGTTGCCCCTCCAACCCTTGGCCCCCGAATCTGCACATTCCGAAAGATGATACAAGCACACCAAGAGCAAGGCATACGGGAATGCTTTCGAAGCCGACTCAAGCACATCCCAGGCGTTTGGATCCAAGATGGTCTGGCAGTAGAGGATGTCACACATGCCGCTTTGCGCACTGCAGGAGTCGAGATTGAGTTCTGGCTTGGCTACTGGTAGTAAGGCTTTCCTTTTAAGAGTGTTGTGTGCTGGTTTGGGTCAGAAGGCTTGGGGACTATCGGAGGGCGCAATGCTGTGCTTAGGCATCTTTCACCTAGACCATTGCCCAAGGTGTTAGGATTCTTTGAGCTTGAGTTGAGGGCTAAGGGGAGAGGAGCATTGGAATGTTAAGGGTTAACAAGGTACATGGGTTTCAAAGAGCAGAGAGGGGACAAAATTAATACACTCGACAAGCAGAGCCATCCTCCTTCCTGCATGAGAACGTTGGATTTCGATACTGCCATCATCCTCGTGTCGTTGCAATCATCAGCGACCGTGATAGGCGACTGTGATGGCAACGCAGGGCAGCAAACATGCGTAGCTCAAAATCCATGGCCTGACGGAGTTTGACCAATCTGAGGTGATTTTCAACCTTTACCTCGGCCCAAGGCAGCGACTGACAGTTTTGCACTTACGTTGCTCCGGAAGCCCTGAAGGAAAGCGTTGGAGTGAAGCACATATGTGCACCCTGAACCCACCCTAGCACCCCATGAAGCCGTTTCAATCGTGGCGTGTTTCTTGCTGGTTGTGATGGCTCCGAGATTCATGAGATTCGGTCTTGATGTGTCCGGGTTTGTTGCGTGCTGGATGAGAGATTCGCTGGAGACTGTAGGTGCGACAGCTCGACAGGTTCGGCCAGGGTTTAGGGCGTAGGGCTCAAGCCTCAAACAACGAGCTTGGGGCTTTGCAAGTTTTCAAAAGGTTCGTAGGTTTCGACTAGCCGGGAAGCCACTAGCTGTTGCCGATCCACCTGCTCCAGTATCGCAGTGGCTGAGTCCGTAAGCTTTAGCTTTCACCTTAGCCTTTGGGGTTCGGACATGTCATGTATAGAATCCATATATACACACAGTCAGAAATACGTACATACCAGTATGTACATAAATCATACATACATATGTACATACATATATATATATACAAATAGGTACATATACATATATATATATATATATATATGTGTGTGTGTGTAATTATGTGTGACTTATTTTCATATATATATATATATATATATGTGTGTGTGAACCAGTGAAAGGTTATGGCGTTGCTTGGCCGTCGAATTCAGCGAGCAACTAAAGGGGCCGCTGCGTTTTGTTGACCCTTAGGCAACCAACGAAGAAAGTTTCCCTGAGACTCCTATATAATTTCAAGCGCGAATGTAGTAAGGACCCTCAGCAACGGATCCTAGATGGCGAAGAAATCGTGAGCTCCTGGAAGGTGCGTCGACAGTCGCGAGGCTTTCGGTAAGCCTGCTGCACTCCCATGCCTCCCGGCTATTTTGGCGTGTTAAGGGCTGGGTTACTGGGTTCATAGGGCGAAACACCCTTAGAAGTCAGGATCGCGAAATGAAAGTCTCGGGAGCTTAGTTGGGGTTTTCAGGGAGCGAGGTCAGTAAATGAAGGTGTAGGCCCTCAAGGCTAGTAAGAACGGGCTTCGGTATCTGAAAGAAAAGTCGACTGGGGTAGCTCTATTCAGGGCTTAGGGGCTTAGGAAGCGTTCGCCCACGAAGTAGTACCAGTGCAAAAAGAGGGTCACCACAGAGTAGCGAAACAGTGTCAGGTGGGGTGATGACCATGTTTTTCTAGCAACTATGCTACAGACAGTCCGACAAGCCGTGCAACTCATGTTGCTGGTAATCCTGCAGCACAGTCGCCTTTGCGGTTGTTGGCAAGCGTCTTCATGTGACCAGTTGCCTCAGTTGCCTGATCACTACAACTAACCACGACCAAGGTGTTAAGCTTTGTATTCTACCTGATGCTGCGTTGATGTAGTCATCAGCTTCTGAGCGCTCAATGAAGCTTAGGTCGACCACCGCTTCGACTCACACAGGCCGCACGTCCCACGTTCAGCTGAGTTTCTTCCTGCGAAGAAATCGGATTGGTCTTGCCTTTGGTGGTGGCAGTGGTGGCGTGGGCGTGGTCGTGGTGGTGGTGGCGGTGCTGTTGGCGGTGGTGGTGGCGGTGGTGGTGGCGGTGGCGGCTTTGTTGTTTTTGTTTCTCTGGTTGGAACTGCAGTTGTAGGCGTGAGCCGAAGACATAGCATGCGGTTCGTCGAAGTAGCAGTGAGCAGCGGCCCCATGATTTCTTTCTGTCATTCTGCTTGATCTTGTCACGGCGATCCGGAATTTTCCGAATCATCACAGTTCTTGTGTGTTGCATGGTCCCTATCGGACACGTAGAATTGCTCGAACAATGCATCGGTCGTTGTAACCACCGTACATACTACAACATGTGTTCAATCACTGGTTCAGTGCTCAAACTGAGCGCAAGATTTCACGAATTGAAAAAGCAGGTGCAACCAACGGGTACCGGCGGTGAGAAAGACTTTTCATAACGTGGCAACAGAGGTTAATGCACCTTGGCAGCGGCAGCTAAGGCGCCCATGCCCTACAACTTGTCGGAAGCACTCTGGGCAGAGATTGGCTTCGAGACACCGGACACCAGAGTGCAAATGAGTGCGTGAAGTCCGGTCAGTGCTAGAGTCAGGGTCAGCTGAGTGAGTGCCATCACCGCCATGCAACTGTGCCATTACGTGGAAAAGTTTGGCCCGTGGCAATGGCCCGTTCGTCTGTGGCACGAGCTGAGCCTCCTGCACAGAGTTCAAAGTGTCGCTCCTCCCACGAGAGACGCCCGGGGTGGATCACAGCTACCTTCAGTCTGTTCCGAAGTGGGCATGCGTCTATCATCATGTTGTGTGTCTCGTCTCCGTGTGTTGTGTCGCGCTGGGTGCAGCAGGGCATGTTTGCCCAAGCCCCTCGCCACGGCCCCCACAAAGACTAGGGGCTGCAAACGATGACTGAAAGTCTCGACCGTTGCGGGAAAGCCGCGGCGCAGGACTTCGACAGCATCACCCAGGCCGAGTGGACCACAGGGGGCTTCGAAACTCCGCTGCCCCTGCTGGCTTTGCGCTGGAACTTCGCGGTGATTGAAGGCGCCATAGGGAGATGATCGGTCCGAGACGAGAACTGCCGTAAGGAGTCTGGATCATCAGCAACCAGTGAACGATTCCAGTAAAGATAGCGGTAGCTAGAAAGTCTATGAAAAGAGTGCGGCGGCCGCCTTGAAGTCCTGGCCCCCGGGAGGTTTGAAGGCGATGAACAACCGCACGGGCTTCGCGAACTGGGCCAACATCGGGAAGTACCCCTTCAACCTGGCATACACCGATCACTGTCGCTTGAAGCATGGGCTTGGAAGACGGACGGAGCAACTGAGCAACTTACAAAGACTCTCTCTCTCGCTTTGCTCCTATGAGGTCCAAGCTTCGATATCTTCACGGCTCCGACGCCCGTCACGCAGGTGCAGCTGGGTTCCGAGGGGTTGAGATTTTTGATGCAACTCTGAAACTCGATGCCTCCAAGTTCCAAATCCTGAAGGGCGAGGTGCCAGAGTTCTAAACCTGTGGGCTCCCACCGACATACGCTATGAGGTGCCATGACATGCCACATGATTCCCGAAACTCTGAAGGTCACAGATTGGCTCCTCTCCGGCGGGATCTTCAACAATCCCACCGGGGGAGCTGGCAACGGTTCGGACGGGAGTTCTGGCCACCAAATTCAGTAGTTCGGGGTTTGAGGGCTTTAGGGCTTAGGGCTTCGGGCTTGATTTCAGTCCTCCCTATTTACACGTTTCAAGGTATTCCTGAATTAAGGAGTATTGTCTCTGGATAATGAATTAGTATAGTGGGTTACAAGGTATTCCTGAATTAGCGAATATTGTCTCTGGATGATGAATAAGTATTAGTGGGTTACAAGATATTCCTGAATTAAAGAATAGTGTCTCTGGATAATGATTGAGTATTAGTGGGACCTGAATTGCTGACGAGCAACGGGCCCTTGGGATGACTGTGCTTCCATTGATAATACTGTCAGTTTAAATGACTCTCACCTTCGGGCCCCATTCATATCACAGCGGTCGTCTTCGATTTCTTTGTCTGTGCTCCTCGAGCTGAGGAATGTGACGGCATGCTTTCCAGTGGACACAGACAAGCAACCCGGCCCGGCAAGCATCGGCTCTTTTCATTTGCATCTGGTTATATGGCGTTTGCTCTGGCGCACTCAGGGCGGTTTGTCCAACCTTGGACAACAACCCACCAACTGTGGACGGCTTCAATGTTCCGGTCTACAACACCACCTTTTGCCGCGAGTATCTTGGTGCGGCGGAGCTTTTCAGGGGATGCCGATGTGAGCACCATTTTGTGCAACCAAGGTACTGCGTGATATGGAACCCTGAAATTGACGGGTAGGCGACGGTCGTGCCAGTTGGGACCACCCAAATTAACTTTTGAGTGACTTGATCGCCCGCAAGCGGCGATTTTTGACTTTTCCGTTTCGAACCACTTGGGGTGGGAGCCAAGGAGACTTGGCACCAAGCACAGTTGACCCACCGTCACAAGCGTAGTGGGCTCATGTGTTTGCATGTAAGAGCCCCAGGAGGCCAAAGATACTTCCTGGAGGTTTAACTTTGAACCAGACGCAAAGGCCCGGACTTGGACTCGCCATCCAACATGCTTCTTGTGCGTACGTTGCCTTCGCGAGAAGCAGCGATTCGTGGCTGTTTGAGTTTGGCAACGCAAAGCAACTGCAGAACGTACAAGTTAAGATCGCTGTGCACCAAAGTCGATGAAGCCTGTCAGTGGCTGCCAGTATCATTGGTCTTGCTCGAATATACGGCTATAATGCAATCAACAGATACGTCATGCATTCGTGTCTCACATGAGCTACCGAGCTCACTGCAAACACAAGCCTGTTCAGAGGATATTGTGGTGTAGTCTAGTTCTCATGATTGCAATCTCCAAGTCTGAGCACGCATATACATCAACGACCTTCATGTGCATTCGGGACTTGTGATTCATCTTAGGACCTCCTGATGTGGTAACCGGGCCGCACCTGAACATGCTGAACTTCTGTATCCAAGTCTTCCGTGAAAACCAGAGTATGCTTTCACTTGAACCATACACGGAGGGAGAGAGACAGAGTGAGTGCGCAAGTGAGTGACAGAGAGGGAGAGATAGACTTCTCTCGTGAAATTTGTCAACTGTCTCATCTCCCAGGCCTGCTTATCTCAAGTAGCACTGACAGCATCATTACGCCGAGCAGGATCGAGTTGTTCGATTTTGTTTTGGGTCATTCAGTGTCAACTTCTCAGCCTGCATGAACCTGCGTCTTTGTGGCTCGTAGTGAGAGAAAAGACTTATTCAGTCCTGTGTATTTCTTCGGTGTTCTCAGGTTCTTTGATGCACACGCCTGTATCCAAAGCAATGTTTGCCACCAACTGGCTCATGAACATAGTCTCTTCCTGCTTTCTGGACACTGCAGGGTTTTGTCCACCAAGTGTCAAGGCCCTTCCGACTTCTATGCAGTGAATCTACATGCCCTGGTTCCGTCCTTTCGCCATGCGCCTGCCTCGGCTCCGCATCGCCCGAACAAGGCCTGCCATGCAGCTGACCGATCTGAGGCTGGCCGGGGGCTGTATGGAGAATTAACGATAAGCAAAGCCCCAGGCCTAGAGAGGCAGAGAGAGGGCAGAAGTTGCCATCTTAGGGCTTTCTGCTTCGGATTTCTCCAGGCTGCCGGCGTGCAGAGCACTTGGCGTCACGCTATCTCCGAGAGTGCGAGAGCAAGGCAGCTTAAGTTCATGCCGGCACTCTCAAGCATGGCATCCTCCTCGCAAGCCTGCAGCTGTTTGAAATGTCACGTATGCTCTGCTTCTAACTCATGCGCAGGGTCTACAACAGCAGCAGCATCACACAGACTTCAGCTTGGGCCAGAGCCATTGCTGCTCCTCCTCCCTCCTGCCTCTATTGCTAGTAGGACGACTACGACCAGCGCTACGACTGCAACTACGACTTCTACTGAGAAAATACGACTACCGCACACTTGCGGCACGACCACTGCCAGCGTCGCTGCTACTGTACCAGTCGCTGCTGCTACTATCCGGGAAGCAACTGTACCAACCCAGACAGACCTTTCGGGTGACAGGAGACATGCCAGACAGCTTGATCTCAGAAGTTGACTCAATGGTGGGTCACGCCGAGGGCCTACTGCGATCCAAAGACTACGTAGCAGCAGCAGCCGCGGCAGAGGCAGTGTTGAGAAATCTACCATTACTTTCAAAAGCGGCCGTGGTACGCGGGAATGCGCTGCTCTTTCCGCTGCTGGATCAGATGATGGATGGCAGCCGCGATAACCCAAGTCGTGCGGCCTTCCAGGAGGCCGGAGATATGTTTCTGTTGGCAAAGAAGCTCGACCCAGAAAATGAGGTTGCAAGCATCGAGGAGCAAAACATGAAGAGCATCATCCAGATGCTCCTGCCAGGTGACGAGGTAGACCTGCATGAAATCCATCATGCATCAGACAACACTGTGCTTGGGAAGAATACGCAGGTGAGCCAACACGACGATGATTTGGATGTTGTCATTGTTGGTGCAGGTGCATCTGGAGTTGGAGTGGGGTTGATGCTCATGGAGCAGTTCGGCATCGATCGCAAGCGTATGTTGGTACTGGAGCGCGGCGCCCGTGTGGGTGAGAGCTTCAGGAGATGGCCGAAAGAGATGCGATTTATCTCTCCTTCGTTCAATCAAGCTGCATGGACAAACTCCTTCGATCTCAACAGCATTTCTCAAGATTCATCGCCTGCTAAGTTCCTTCTGGAGGAACACCCAACCGGCGAGCAGTATGCCAACTATCTTGAGGCAGTTGCAAATGAAAGGCAGCTTCCAATCCAGTTCTGCACAGATGTGACTCAAATCTCAGCCCTGGGTGTCCCAGGACATCCGCGCTTCAAAGTTCATGTGAAGCCTTCGCAAGCCAGTGTGCACTGTAAGTTTGTCGTATGGGCTGCAGGGGAGTTCCAATATCCGAAAGATTCTGGTGGTTTCCAAGGAATGGAGCTTTGCCAGCACAACTCGCTCGTGCGAAGTTGGGTGGATGTTCCTGGTGACGAGTTCGTGGTCATAGGTGGATACGAGAGTGGCATTGATGCTGCAGTACAGCTTGCCCGTACAAAGCGCCCAGTTACAGTTCTAGCTGCCAACCGATGCTGGCAAGAGAGCAGTCCAGACCCAAGTGAAGAGCTCGCCCCGTACACACGGGCACGTCTGAGAAATGTCATGGCCGATGAAAGCCTTCCGCAGCCGAAGTTACACGGAGGGTTCACAGTAACAAAGGTCGCAAAAGCTGATGCAGGCTACCTGGTTTATGCGGACGAGTGTGCAACGACGGATCGTGTGGCACCAGGTGACCGCACTCAAGTGCAACGAATCTTTTCCACAGCTTCTGCTCCGATACTATGCGTTGGCTTTCAAGGCAGCGTGGCTGCCCTGGTAGGCGATCTCTTCCATTGGAGCTCAAGTGACTCGGCCACCTCCTCTCCCGTCTTGACGGACCAGGACGAAAGCACTCGAACAGAAGGTTTCTTTCTCGTTGGGCCGAGTGTTTGCCATGATGGGCTCATCTTTTGTTTCGTGTACAAGTTTCGCCAAAGGTTTGCCATAGTTGCCGAAGCCGTGGCTAGACGTCTAGGCAAAGACACTCACCGGGGAATCATGGCATGCCGCTCCGCTGACATGTTCTTGGATGACCTCGCCGGAATTCATGCATGCGCTGACTGATCCACCGAGCAAGGTAGTTACCCTATGTGAGCTTTACTGGCTCTGCTGCACAATTCCAGTTTGAACGGCGATTGCATTCTCACTGACCGAGGGGTGACCACACTTGAGCCGCGGAAGTAGAACTTTCCATTGTTTAACAACATAAAGTTCCCTGTCTGACTTTAGTTTGGAGAAGGAGCCACCTTGAACTTGAGACTCTCACGATTCAGCCCTGAGAACCCCTCTGCGCAAATCCAAATCGAACCCCCAGCCCTAACAGGATCCGGCCCGAACCCAGCGAAGCAGTAGCAAAAAAACTGCTGCCCATCCCCAACAAAAACAAGCAAACAAGTAACATACTACGCATCCCCAAACAAGAATCAAATCCGGGGCGGCGCGTGCCAAACGCGGAGGTCTCAGCTTCAAGGGTTTAGGGTTCAAGTGGGGGCGCAGCTTTTGGGGTAGAAAGCCTTCGTCCTCAAAGCTTCTAGCCTGGGCCATCTGCTGACGAAGCTTACCTGTGGTTAGTAGGGAATGGAAGAATGGTAGTAATTGTAGTTAGAATTGTACCCCATTTCTCCATTTCATTCCCTATTAACCAGAGGTAAGGAAGGTGGCATTCCAGTCTTTTGAGGTGATGCTGCCAACATTCGCAATACCCTCCTGGGAAAAAACCGAGGATGCCCAGTAGCCTTATTACCGTTTTGTCGTCCTAGGTTCCTTATAAAGTTACCCAATACCAATAAGGGAGCCATTGTTATTCCTAGGTTAGTGGGCATCCTACCGAAACTTGCAATGCTGCCTGTGGGCCTGTGAACCCTCGAGGCCCTAGGCCAGGGTTCAAGGGAGTCGAGTTACAGCAATTACCTCAAGTATTTTGGGGGGGGTTCCCTTTTCTAATTATTGTATAAGGGGCCCCAAAACCCTAGTCTAATTATTAAGGCCCTTTTGTAGGGGTTTCGACGTTTGAACGGGTTTCGGACTTGGGGTACAAGAATACATATTCAGGCTCCTGCTAGTTGTACTTTTCTGGACATGTGATCAGGATCCTCAACCATGGAGCAGAATCAGCTCTGATCGGCGAGGCCTCTACACCGAGGAGAGTTTGGAGGATTATCTTGGGCTTGGGGAACTGGGTTTCCAACTTGTCTAGGGCTGCGTGTGCTTGAGCTGGGGCGTGTGCGCCAGTGGGCTAAGAAATTTTACTCCTATCTGTTAAGCTATGAGCCCTACGCTGTAGCAGAGTGAGGCCATGGACGTGTGATTGAATATCCAGCGTCATCGAGTTTTTTGTGTCGTCCAAAGCGAGCTCTTGCTTGTCAATTGACGGGCCACATTTTGTCGTTGAGAAGCTGGCCCGACATCGGAAGATCAGCAGGGGTCTTATTCCAAGAGTGTTGATCGGATCTCCCCCATAAGTTCGCATGTGCCCTGCCAGCCTAGAATTGGACTCACATGCCTTGCTGAAAGCAACATTCAGCCTCCCAGAATAACATGTCGACAAGTTTTGCTGCCAGCGCATGTGGCGGAAGTTGCAACTTGAAGTTCCGGGTCGAAAGTGGTAGATTGCAGAGTCAAAGCGCGCCCTTCGATCCGCGTTGATCAGGAACAGACTGTGCCTGACATGTTTCTGAAACAGAGATGCTGTGGCGGTCCTATCATGCAAAGCACAAGGCTCATCTGGCTCATGTTGAAGCCGGCCTGCGTTGATTGAGCCAGCAAAACATGTTGCGACATGAACTTGCTGACGACAGTGCATATCCAAACCCATGTGCAATCTTGATACCCAGTCGTGCACAGTTTCGGGTTGATCACTTTCAGTCTGTTTTCCTTGTTTGCCCAACCCAGAAGTGTCGCGCAACTTGAGCTGATGTTTTGACCGCCCAAGGCCACTTATGCTTGGAGCCTGAGCGAGCCAGAATTCACAGTGACCTCGCAGCAACAGGCAGAAGATGCTGCGTGAGGCCACATGCATGAGCCACAAAGACCTTGGAGGAGCGCGAGCCAGGTGTTAGCCATAGGCTAAAACCCTTTTTGGCCTCCTATGACTTCTAGGGCTTTGTAGGGTTTTCTGGGGTCCGTGCTCCTGTGTGGTATATACTGTGGCCTTCAAGGGATGGTGCTCTGGGGCCACTGCATACACTTGGACCGCGGTTAAATCTCATCCGCACTGAAACCGACAAATTCTAACACCGAATTGGGGCGGCAAACTATCCATCTCAAAGCGCAAATGTTGCAACCAGGAACCCCTAAACCACAAAACCCTAAACCCTTAACCCTCAGGAACCCCAAACTTTCAAGGACGATTCTTGCCATCCCAAGCCCACATAACACGGCTCTGAACAACTTGGTGTCCGGCCAAATTTGGCGCCCAGCCGTTTTAGCAGGGCAGCCTGCACTAACGGGTTTTGAGATTTCGGGTCTTGACAGGGTCTGGCATCTATTCAAACTCAAACAAGGATAAACTCAAAGCCTACATCCTGAGCCCGGAGAGGCTTAAGCCTGCATCTCAGCTCGAAGTGCCCAAAACGAACTAGTAGCTACTCATAGGCCGCTGGATGGAGCCTGATCCGAGCCCTCAACCCTACAACTCTCTAGCCCCACACCCGACCCATACAGCCTGCAAGCATGTGTGACCATACTCCAGAAGACCCCTGTTACCTCGTCGTTGGTACTTTGCTGTCCTGCTGAGTTGTACAAACCGCTTCACAGCTAGAGTTTAGAATTGCTGGAGTCTTTGCGACGGGGTGGCGAGAGCTCCGGTTCCTCCTGTTGAAAGACTCCTTAGAAATCTAAACCCTAAACACCAAAACCCTAAATTTTGAGGTTTGCTTTACGGACTTGCAGTCTTTGAAGCATAGGGGAAGCTGAACTGGGGTTAAGGGTAGTTTTTATCCCTATTCTGTGTTTTGGGTTTTTGGGAGCGGGCTTTAGGGAGGTGGGCCACATACTGACGAGCACACCAGTCACGACAGCCGACCCCGGCAAGAAGTGGGGGGCGTCCATTCCTGAGTCCGGATCGTGGACGCTGCCGGGTGGGCGATGGCATTTGGGAAGCCGCGTTAATCACCTGCACGTCAGCGCGAAGGCTTGCAGCGACTGCTGCAGTGGCTTTCCCAAGTACTTCCGGTTTCCCGTCAGAGACGGTCAGTACTTGGGGGTTTAAAAGTTTTGTCGGTGCATGCCTTGTGCGCAAGCACCATGAAACTTTCGCGTCTCAGTGCAGTTTAAGAGCCGAGATTGTGTCTGATGCACTGCTTTTCGGAGTCTGCAGGGGTATCGAAGCAAGCTGACCTCGACAAGTGTTTGCATGAGAACGGAGTTAGCTCTTTTCACATGAAATACCTCAACAACTGGAACTTTCGTTTGCAGGGCGCTATCTGGCCATCAGAGTAGTTCCGTCGCCAGTAGATGAAGATAACTTCCGAGCCTCATGCTTGCTTGTCCGAGAACCGCCCAAAGCTTAAAGTGTGCATGTCAAGTTTTGGTGTGCGTGCGGCGGCTGCGTCTTGCCCCTTGTTCACCACTGCTTGGCCCGCAAGCGTTTCTCAAGCCTGCTGTTGTAGTCTGCCCGAGTCCCACCCCGAGCATGGCGTGTGTGGCCGCGGCGCTTTCCGACTTGTTCGGCCTCACTGCGGGTGGGAAGGAAGGGCAGTACATCAAGGCCGGGCTTAGGGCTTTTCATTTGGATTTGATGGCCTTTTCGGGTTCAGGGCTGTTGGGGCGTGTTGCGGGTGAAACTCTTGTTTGCTTAGCCTGTCCCGCTGCCGGCGCCGTCCGCCCGTCCACACCGCCCGGCGCCCCAGCCACAGCACGCATGCGCGTGCGTGCGCAGGCGCACAGAGACACAGACACAGACGTAGGCAATCCGATGTGCAGAGCATGCTAAGTCCGGATTTTGTTATGTCTTGAAGATCGACGATGGCTTGGCTAATGATTTTCCCTTCAATTTTTGTGTGTTTTCTTTCGTATGGGTGCTTACACCCGCAGTTTAAGTCCCAATACTGGTTTCTTCAGTTTAGTAAACACGCATTGGTGATGCGCGCAAAACACCCAATCTTGAGGTGCAACTTTTGCAGCTTCGCATTTTAAGCCAGCAGTTGGCAGAAGTCACGAATGGGCGGTGCCCCCAAGGCTTGCTGCGGCTACGGCGGGTTCTGTTTGCAGCCAGGAGCTCGAAGCCACGGTGCGTTGGCAGGAAACTGTCATCGCCATGCTGCGACAGGACAAGTCCACTCTTGAATTTTCAAGTAGGATTGGATGGTTCATGCCATGCATTGGAGGAGTTGAAAACTCGCCGACAAAGACCTAGACTGCACAAAGGCTTGGGACCCAGCAAGAGATGCTGTTTCGCGAACGTGCTACATGGTGTGGGTTGATTCCCGAATCCTCTTCACCCCGTACACTCTGTTGCAACGTGCAAAGCTGGCATCGCATTGCACAGCCCCCGTGTGTGAAAAATCCATTTCATGATCCCCAAACCCTAAGCCCCGAAACCTACACATCCAGTCTTTTCCGCGGAGGTGTTCCCGCGGAAGCTGTTGACTCCAGGCAGTTCCTAACAGCATTTTGCATGGAGGTTCTTTCGACGAACCCCTATAATGCTAGAAGGAGATTCACTCAGACCTTCGTCGCAGAGCGAGGTTTGCAATATTCCGTTCCATGTTGAAGCTGTAAATGCAAACACCAGAACCGATTTTATCATGCAAGTGGAATCGGGGACCTCTGGACATGCTTGTTTGCCAAGTTCTACTATTCATTCAACTTCTACTTTCGAATCCAATTCGCAATTTTGCAAGGCCGTCTGTCCACAACCCTACTTTAGCGACACAGCCCGCTGCCCAGGCCGAACTCACAAAGAAACAGGCGGGAGGGCAGCCCACTTCAGATTTTCCATGCGCTTCTCATGATAGGGGCGCCGGTAGCATGCACCAACTGGGCCAGGTCTTCGTGCAGGGCGTCCTCCTGCGTTGCGCAGAGGATGCCGAGATCTGGGCTTCGCCGCCTGCGTAGTTGGAACT